CGCAACTTACCAATTTCACCGCAATTTCACCGCATAAAATCACATAAAACCTTGCATGTTTGATTGCATAATCAAGGATTTTTGCCCGCGTTTTTCTGGAGGGTCTAAAGGTCCCCACTGGAGCCTTAGTTGGAATTGGTGAGAGGTAAGGAGGTACGCTGTGACTACGGCATAACACTCCCCGGCCTGAATAAGCCACTCTGCAAACCTGTTTCCCTCTAATGAAACCTTGTGAGTTTATGGAGGGAAAAGGTTTTGGATAAAGAGAGGATAGAAAGAATAGATTACAGGAGTATAGAGTATGAGAAGTAGAGAGAGAAAATATTTTTGAAGAATGAGAAGTAGTAATAACCTTAGTTTTAAATATAAGATCCAAGTTTTTAGGATTTAAGTGAAAGAGCAAGAACCAAAATGTAGGTGAAGAGGCACAGTGTATCTGCGTCAAAGCACTCTCATTAGATTATTCTATCAACTATAAGCTTTATCAAAAGGAAGGTTAGGGTGCCTGGGGTGTAGCGATGGAGGAGTTCGGCTATATAGGCCGGAGCCAGCCCATTTAGGGCTTTGCAAACAAATACAAGGATTTTAAAATCTATTCTGAACCGAACTGGAAGCCAGTGTAATGAAGCCAGAATTGGGGTGATGTGTTCATGCTTTTTATGGCCAGTGAGAAGACATGCAGCTGCGTTCTGCACTAGCTGGAGGCGTCTAATTGAGGCCTGGTCCATACCCACATACAGAGCATTGCAGTAATCCAGTCTCGAGGTAACAAAGGCGTTAATAACCCTTTATAGGTCTTTAAAAGATAAAAACGACTTGGTCTTAGCCAATAGTCGTATTTTGAAAAAGCAGGTCTTGACTACAGTGCTAACCTGCTTATTAAATGTAAAGGCGCTGTTGAAGGTCACTCCAAGGTTCATAACAGAGGGGAGGATATTTTTATTGAGGGAGCCCAGAATATCAACCGGAGAGGCTGGAGGTCGGGGTCCAAAAAAGATGACCTCAGCCTTGCTCTCGTTGAGGGTGAGGAAGTTTTGTCTCAGCCAGGATTTAATCTCTGTTAAGCAGTCCATCAACTGCTGTAGTGAGTTGGCATTTGAATTGAGAGGCAGATAGATCTGTACATCGTCCGCGTAGCAGTAGAAGGGGATGTTGTGTTTTGTGAGAATTGAGCCTATGGGCAGTATGTACAGTAGAAAAAGGATGGGGCCCAGAATCGAGCCTTGGGGAACCCCACAGGTAAGACGGGCTTTGGCAGAGGAGAACACACCTAACTGCACTGAGAAGCTACGGTCTGTCAGGTAGGACCTGAACCATGCAAGGGCAGAGCCTGTGATGCCTGCGGACTGTTCAAGCCGTGACAACAGAATGCTATGGTCCACAGTGTCGAAGGCAGCTGTCAGGTCCAACAGCACCAGGACAGCTGGGCTACCTGAGACGGCGGCTAGGAGCAGATCATTAAAAACTCTTAAAAGGGCTGTTTCAGTGCTGTGTGTTTCAGTGCTGTGTTTGAAGCCAGACTGAAACTTTTCATGGATGCCGTTAAGAGAGACTGCAGCTGGGCGTAGAGTACTCGCTCCAGGGCTTTAGATAAAAAGGGTAGCTGGGAGATGGGCCTAAAATTTGCGAGAATGGAAGGTTCAAGATTTTTCTTTTTAAATAGTGGCTTAACCACGGCATGTTTGAAGGCAGCTGGGACACATCCTGAGCTAAGAGAGGTATTTATAAGTAATAAAATACTTGCTCCAACTGATTCGAAAACATCTCTGAGAAAGCGAGAGGGAATGCTGTCTGAGGTGCAGTTTGTCGGCCGCAGGTGCTTGACTACATCCAAGAGAGAAGAGAGGGATACAGGCTCAAAGTGGTCGAGGACAGCAGGGCACAGAAAGGGAACAGGATCTGAGGTAGCACTAGTGTGGGCTAGCCTAAGAGCAGATACTTTTTCAATAACAAATGTAAGAAATGTATCGCAGAGAGTAGTTGATGGCACAATTGGAGAAGCATCACAAGGATTAATGATCGAATTGAGGACATTAAAAAGAACTTGAGGTTTATGGCTGTTTTTAGAGATTAACAGAGAAATGTGCTCCGTTTTGGCTGCTTTGACTGCCGTCTGATAATCGGAAAGGCAAGCACGAAGAATTTCTAAGGAGACATGGAGTTTATCCTTTTTCCATTTTCTCTCTGCACGCCTGCAAGCGCGTCTAAAAGCGCGAGTACAATCATTGAGCCACGGCTCTGAGAGAACTTTGTTGCGTCTAAGCGTAAAAGGAGCAACGGAATCCAGTATTAGTGTGCATGTCGAATCAAACAAAGAGATAAACTCATCCGCACTAAAAGCACAGTTCACCTCTAATTTACAAAGTATTAAAAGCATCTAAAAACTGTGAGGCAGTCAAGGGGTTAATTGAACGCAGACAACGCGCAGAAGCACGTGATTCGACTCCTACAGAAGGGATTGAGGTTGTAAACAGAACCGGTAAATGGTCTGAGATACGCGTTCCTGCACAGATTTCATCCACAGAGATAGACAATCCAAACGATAATACTAAGTCTAAGGTGTGTCCTTTATCGTGTGTTGGGCCAGCCACAGACTGAATAAGACCAAAAGAGTCGAGGAGGTTTAAAAAATCCCTAAAGGCCCTGTCACACTGTCCCGAAATTGACACCCGATGGACACACGATAAAGGAAATGTTCAAATTCGGCTGTGATCGTAGCAACATCGGGCCATTCGTGAGGGCATCTAAGCCATCATATGACCGCCGGTGGAGTTTCTCAGGCTCCGGCAGCAACTTCGTGAGCGGCAACTTCGTAAGGTACTCGTGAGGGCATCTTGTCAAATCGTGTCATCTTCGTGTTATCATCGGTGCATTCACCCTCACTCTGATCGGGGCGAATGCCCGATGGCAACGATGATAACAAGATGCCCTCACGATGGCCTTACGAAGGGCAACATTGACACACAAATTCAACACGAAAATGAACCTTCGCAAGGTCCTTCGGCAATTTTTTGGCATGCCAAAGATTTTGCCACCGCTCACGAAGTTGCTGCCGGAGCCTGAGAAACTCCACCGGCGGTCATACGATGGCTTAAGATGCCCTCACGAATGGCCCGATGTTGCTACGATCACAGCCGAATTTGAACATTTCCTTTATCGTGTGTCCATCGGGTTGTTTTATTGCACAACAAAATCATGTAAATATATTATGTAAATAACCCAATTTGTGTTCTGTGAAACTAAAAAGGATATAATATATTATTTTGAAGGACAGTTGACAGGAAGTTGTTGTTGTTATGGAAACAACATTACGGAGAAAACGTAATATTTTCTACATATAACGACGGATAAAGTAAAGAACAAAGTCTGAAGATATCAGTACAGTATCATAGTACTGTAACATAATTGTTTTTGGTACTTTCATTGCAGTTGTATGTCTTAAATGTAATGTAAATGTTGCCTTCGTGTGTGGTTCGGGGCCATCTTTGTGCGAAATTCACAATTCCATATTCGTATGTCCATCGGGAGTCAATTTCGGGACAGTGTGACAGGGCCTTAACCAGAGGTTTAGACTCGCAGCACACATGGACATTAAAGTCTCCGTAGATCAAAACACGATTATATTTCACCATGATCCCGGACAGAAAGTCAGAAAAGTCAATTATAAAATCCTTATTGTACTTTGGTGGACGATACACGACTGCACAGAGTATAGGTGAGGCCAGGTTCAGCTCAAAAAGCTGCAACTCGAAGCTAGCATAGCTAGTTACTGGGTGAAGCAAACAGCATTGGAGATTAGCTCTAAACACTGAAGCTATACCCCCACCACGGCCGGTGGTACGGGGGGAGCTGAAGAAAGTACAGTCGGGAGGAAGAAGTTCAGAAAACGGTACATACTCGCCGGCGTGGACCCAGGTCTCCGTCAGGAACATTAAATCCAGATCATGAGAGGTGAAGAAGTCGTTTAACAGGAACGTCTTGTTTGCTATTGACCTAGCGTTTAGCAAAGTCATGCAGAGTTTTCTCTCCGGGCTGGCCGAAGGTGTAGTGCGTCTCAGTTGACGAAGATGTGCGTGTTGAACGCCGCGCGGACCGGGAGCAGTCAGTCGGGCAGGAGGAGCTGTCAGCGGGCCCAGCAGAGGCCACAGCTCCGGAAAGACAGGGCGAATCCACCGAACCCTCGGATGGCGTGCAGCGGGAGGGCCATGACATCTGATGCGTGGATAAGTCCCAGAAGAAGCCGTCAGGTGTGCTTTTTGATGGACAAGCGCACCCGTCGTCTAAAGCTCTTTCGGTGAGGCAGGATGAAGGGCAACCGGCGCAGGTAGGTGGGAATATCCGACAGTAGAGGGGGGGGGGGGATTTATGGTTGCCAGATGTAGTTTTGGGCAGCAGTATAAACTCCAATGAGGGTCTGAGGTGGAGGAGAGCTTGGCGATAATAGACAAGTAGAGCAGGGACATTCTGACAAACATAAAACAAAAGCAGGATAGCTAAAGGAAGAGAGCTGAGGGAGCGGCATGCCGACACAGACGCCATCTTGAAATCCCTTGACCAGGATTAAGGATTATTTAATGGATTCTAAACTCATTGTCTGGAAAGGCTATTATTTTATCTTGATACATTTGTTTCTTATCTTTGAACTTGACATTTCAAATAAATGTAGATTTATTTAATTTAATTTTGGATAAAAAAATGTGTCTTGTATATCATTTAAATCATTTTCATAATGAAACCATTGACTCTCATCATTTCTTTCTTCATCCGGGGACATTTATTTTTTATCAAGTTGTTTTTTGTTTCAGACCACATAGGAACAATATAATATTGCTTGACAAGTAATATAACTATAATGAACTACTGTATGAAAAAAACTATAGTTGATAAAGTGAATGACTCAGGTGAATTAAGTGCAGTGTTGCTGATCAGAGTGCCAGGACACAGTCGTCTTCATTAACAAGCACACGGTCCTAGGTGAACATTTAAAGGCAGAGCTCTACCTCTGGAAGCCTCCGTGCCATACGGCCCGCTGCTCTCCGTCAGGTCGGTCATCCAGGCGTCCTTCACTGCTGACTTAAAGACGTGGCGGTTGTCCAAACTCTGGATGGGCCTGAAGTTGCTGCGCAGATACTCCACTGACTTCACGTGGTCCTGCTGCTCTGTGGTGAAGATGGAGTAGAACGCTTCCAACTGGAATGAAGAGAGAAGAGAAAACAGGAGAGAGTTAGTGTAGTGCCCTGCAACACTCACTTACTGTGGGGAGTACTGCATCCATCATACAGCAGTGAAACATTTTAACTCGCTGCACAAAAAAAATATGAATGTAGACATCTAATTGGAATAAAGAAAGAGAAAATAAACAATTGATAAATTACAGAGTCATCCCCAAAACCTTAGCAGAATGCTTGAAGCATAATAATTACAACATATAAAGATCATATCAAAACATGATGATCAGTGATGAAGATAAATAAATGCCCCGTACAGAGAAGAGCAAGACCACTTTATTTAAAAATACATTAGTATTATTTAAATCAATACACTCAATTATATCAATCAATAGACTCAATTATATTAATCCAGCAGCATTGTTGATTCAACATGTTGTTCATTTCCATTTCCAGCTATACTCTCATTCTCTTTCCTGTGGGGACCTAAGTGAGAGGATCGATACCAGTCTCAAACAAGCAGGTTGTAGCAAGAGGCGAGAGATGATAAGCATGGAGACTGGATGCAGGACAAAACGTTCACTTTCTAAAAGTGATCCGTAAACAAACACATACAAAAATAACATTTAGTGGTTTGAGTGGGAGTGAATCGTTTCTGGATAACTCCAGAAAAGGACTCCAGGAAGTCACTGCTCCCTGCTGCCTTTTGCCAAGTTATTCTAGTTACCTTTTAGTTGCCAAAAGGCATAAAACCTACAAAAAACCCGCCATGACCAGAACCCAGGGTATATTAGGAATACAGTGACACATGTCATCGCACGGAGTTGAATACAAGCATAAGGGAAAGTGGTCTGGATAGAATAAAGATAGAAGACACCTAATTATGATACACAATGTACTATAATTACATGGATTGTTGCATGATTGTGATCATTCTGAAAAAGCGGCATTGAAGTCACATTTCAGTCCTAAACCCTATCATTTATTCAATCATGTGTCTGATCCAGAGCTGGCGGTGAAGTGGCCCTGAGGGTTTTGATCCAAAGGTCTCTCACAGAGGAGATGTTGGAATCTGTGAACTGACAGCCATCCCCCCCCCCCCCCAGACCTATAACTTCAGGTCCTTGTGGCCTGTGTGACTGAAGTGCTGTCCCAAGGGATAATTGTGTTTTTCAGAGTTCTGATTGCATATTCATTTGTGCCAGTGTGTGTTTCTTTTATTTGTATTAGTTGCAGGCATAAAGCAACCACAGTCAAACTCCGAATGGCACAACAAACAGTGTTGGGGTTGTCCAAGTCCTTTAAACAGTCAGTGTTGTGATAAACACCTCAATATAAATATTTGTAACAAGTAGTGTTGTCCTATTATTTGCATTAACTGCATCCATGCCAAACGAGTAAATAAGCTTGGCCCATCAGCAGTCAAGATCCAGCAAATCTAGTTTATAAAATATTATATTTTTTCTAGATATTTTTAAATATCTAAAACACACTGGGCCAACTCTGGGTGCCACATGTGACTCAAAGCCACCAGTAAAGAGATTGTTCTTCGGACACAACTGGATAAATTGACAAAACTCAGTCAAATCAAACAATGATGTAGTGGCCAAAGCGTTTGAACTTATAGTCACATTTGGCTCGGTTTTGCTGAATCCTTGGTTGTGTTTTTTAAATGAGGTAGTACCTCTGGAAGGACAGATGTGGCTTCAATAATAAGATGGTTTTGTTGTTTGTTCTGTTGTTTAAGCTGTGATTGGTAAAACTTAGTGTCTGATACGCTGAAACGGTTCCACATTTTAAAATGCTGCCATGTTTTCAAGCTGTGAACATTTTGTACTGCGTTGGGTAGATGTTGAAGTTGGCCTCTTCCTGCATGTTGCCATTTGTCAAATACGTGCTGGGTGGCAGGACGTGCGACCAGACATGGATTTGCTCTGTGTGACTGAAGTGTCATCTTTCTGTCTGTGTTGGCAGATGGATACTCTGTACAATGTGTTTGGAAGCAATTCACACAGAGAAACAGCTTGTGTGCGAGAGAGTGTTGGAAAGAGGGGGTGTAGTGTGGCAGATTTAGTTTCAGGAAGGTACATGTCGGAGAGGGGATATCCAAGGACAGCAAATCCTTCCTGTGACTCTTTGTGCTGTACAACATCAGGTGCTCTGAAATTGAAAACAGAAGCTAAGCCACAACAGAATGAGGGAGGAGTGCATTTTGAATAGATTGTCCTTGACTTGTAGTATGTTTGGACCAAAAAGTGACTGCACCATCTCCTACTCCTCCAGCAGTTCACCAAACAACTTCACTGACAGAATGAGCCACCAAGCCAGAGCAAACCAAATCATTAAATAAATGACATGGATTAAAGTGAAAAGACTGCTAATAGCCTTTAGATGAAAGACGTACATCTAAGAGTGTTTCAAAAACAAGACAGACCGTCATTCTTTTTTTTTTATTACATCTATTTTTGAATCCATGAATCACTTCCCACAGCAGCTGCAGCAGTTTAGTGTAGTGAACGCCTTTTACTCTGATGCAAACACTGTTTGGAATCCTCTGGGGACCATGAATATTCAAACATAATGGAATGGAAGTGTGGACAGTAGGTGTTGAGATATCTTGGTTTGAAACAAACTGTGATGCTTGGATAAGCCAACAATCCTCCCCGTTGTTATAGAATAATAAAATAATAGCGGATGAGAAAGTCAGCCAGTGTTTTTTCCTGAGCAGAATGTGATTGCAGCAAATCCTATTCCCAAACCCCCCAGGCTGCTGCAAAACCAATGTAAAACACACATTAAACATCCGCCTGCCGGCTCTGTTGACCAGCTTTAGGGGTGACTTTCTGAGACGATGAAAGTCAAATCTGCGTCAAAGCAAAGGATTAATACGAAAAAAGCCCTAATTTGATTCCACTGTTTACAGAACCGTAGCAAACCCTCAGGGTTTAGGCTGGACAAAGACTGAAGATGGAGGTAACGCTGCACAACTGCAGGAGCAAACACAAACGCATGCACATCTCTTTAGCCTTCCTTTGTGTTAGCTCTGTCGTGCTTTCCAGGGGTAGCTCTGCTCTAGTTTCCACTTAAGGTGTAGGTTAGCTTTAAATGCTTTAAATGAAGGATGTGGGCAGGGGGCTGAGTAACCAGGGTTCCGTTCTGGTAACAGTGTTCCAATACAGCTAATATATTGATATATCAAGAGAAGTGGATACTGTGTTCCAAGATGGCATCCACATATTACCAATACAAGCAACTCATTGAGTGCACGCTCCAAACATGTCTTTCATGTGTCTTTTGGCTTCTGTTTTTGGGCTTATGGGCCTCTGATCCTGCTGATTCTCTGCACACAACTAATAATATATAGTTTTTTCCACAATATTTTTATTGGCAAGGATTGCAAGTCTAGATACTGGCAATTGTTGGTCATTTGCAATAATTTGCGTTTTCAACCATGGACTCTATGACAAAATTCCATTACAGTCCTGTGCAGTCGTGTAAGGACAGTACTACCTGAAAAACTCTTGGAACATTCTTATACATGTATATGTCATTCAAAAATAATGATGCACCCAAGGTAGGCATAAGTACACTGAACAAAAATATAAACGCAACACTTTTGTTTTTGCTCCCATTTTTCATGAGATGAACTCAAAGATCTAAAACATTTTCGATATACACAAAATAACCATTTATCTCAAATATTGTTCACAAATCTGAAAAAATCTGTGATAGTGAGCACTTCTCCTTTGCCGAGATAATCCATCCCACCTCACAGGTGTGGCATATCAAGATGCTGATTAGACAGCATGATTATTGCACAGGTGTGTCTTAGGCTGGCCACAATAAAAGGCCACTCTGAAACTGCACGTTTCAAAAGTGTTGCGTTTATATTTCTGTTCAGTGTAGATCAGCGGTTTTCAAAGTGTGAGGCGCGCCTCCCCTGGAGGGCGCCAGAGAGCTTCAGGAGAGGCGCAGCGGGAGAAAAAAATAACGAGAGAAAGATGAGTAGTCACTTGCACACTTTTGGCTGTCTGTGGAGACCGAGTTCCCCCACCTCACCAGAAAGGCTGTAAAAGTGCTCATTCCCTTCACCTCCACCCAGGGGCGGACTGGCCATCTGTGTGTTCTAGAGAATCACAGAACGGCCGGTCGTCAGCGGGCCGTTGACGGCCGGCTCGGTTCGCTGACGGCCGACACAGACAGAGGTCCGTACAGCGGGCCGTTTCCACGCAGCGAGAATGTTATTTCATATTAAGGCTAATAAAAATGACAAGGCTGTAATGCTAACTAACGTGCTTGCTACTAGCTAGGCAGCTAACTTGATCCAGCCACTCCTGGTCCTTTCATCAGACGGGAAGCGAAAGAACGAGCAAGACCCATTGCTGGTATGATAACAACCTGGTACTAAGCACACAGGCATCTTGTTAAAGTTATCTTATCTGAGCCAGTTTAGCTATCTCTTAGTGCAGGAAAACAATTGTGACATCACTTACGCGACTCTGGGATTTGTAGTCTTTCTAGTTGCGTATTTTTCATGGTCTTACGACAAACTGTGACTTTTTTGACATGGAAATTATTTTTTAAGATTGAAAAACATCATGTGTAATTCATGGCACAATTCAAACGGGATTGAAAGATACGTTTTCTCTCTCCATTGACTTCGATACATTATTTTTCCGAAATAAGGTCCCATGGACCGGAAGTAGATGGGCGTGACTTCGCCACTCTATATGGTTAAATTAAAATCAGTAGGCGAGGCTGTAATTTCGCCAGCTGTTACTCTCATGAGCGAGGCAGAAAATAATAGTTGTAACATGCCAAAAAGCTGCTGTGTCGTTTATTGCACCTCAAACATTAAAACAAATCCAGAGTTACGTGTTTCTGTACTTCCTCTAAGAAGAAAGGACAGTAACAGAAGATCTCTTCAGGCTTGATCGCCGTTCAAATGACAGCGTTGGTTTCCCCAAAAGTGATTTTACACTCATCTATTATTCAAAACAATTCTATTTATTCTAACGTAAA